GATGGAATACGGATGGAATATGGATGGAATATGGGTGGAATATGGGTGGAATATGGATGGAATATGGGTGGAATATGGGTGGAATATGGATGGAATACGGATGGAATATGGATGGAATATGGATGGAATATGGGTGGAATATGGGTGGAATATGGGTGGAATACGGATGGAATATGGATGGAATATGGATGGAATATGGGTGGAATATGGGTGGAATATGGATGGAATATGGGTGGAATATGGATGGAATATGGATGGAATATGGATGGAATATGGGTGGAATATGGGTGGAATATGGGTGGAATATGGGTGGAATATGGATGGAATATGGATGGATGGAATATGGATGTAATATGGATGGCTGGAATATGAATGGAATATGGATGGATGTAATATGGATGTAATATGGATGGAATATGGGTGGAATATGGATGTAATATGGGTGGAATATGGATGGAATATGGGTGGAATATGGATGGAATATGGGTGGAATATAGATGGAATATGTATGGAATATGGATGGAATATGGGTGGAAGATGGATGGAATATGGGTGGAATATGGATGGCTGGAATATGGATGGAATATGGGTGGAATATGGATGGCTGGAATATGGATGGAATATGGATGGCTGGAATATGTATGGAATATGTATGGAATATGTATGGAATATGGATGGGTGGAATATGGATGGAATATGGGTGGATGGATGGAATATGGATGATGGATTGATAGATGGATGGATGGAATATGGATGGAAAATGGATGGAATATGGATGGATGGATGGAATATGGATGGAGTATAGATAGATGGAATATGGATAGAAGGAATATGGATGGATGGATGTAATCTGGATGGATGGACGGAATATGGATTGATTGATGGATGGATGGAATCAATATCACTGATCTTAGTTTAGATCTACTACAGCTGACAACAAACAGCTGAAACACCCAAATCTGGCACCAGACTGTATTATGTTAAAACGGAGAGAATATGGAAAATCCCTCAGGCTCTTAACTCATTTGCACACAGCCCAAACTGTTAGTAATACTTTAAAATATCAAAAGTAAACCAGATAAACACGCTCATATAGACTGGGTGGTGCGGGAGCGATTCTAAATGAATGTAGTTCAGTCGAAACAAACAACCAATCAGCCGCTCGCGCCACAAATCAACAATCAAGCGGATTCTAACGTAACTCACTTCCTGTTCTCTCTCTGAGGACGGCGTCTATAAACCAACATCAGACGAACGTACGGCATCCGTGAGGCTGCTCGAGTAAACCAAGAACTCTAGCCATTCACTGATTGTTTTTGTTAGCATGTCTTTGAATTAAAAACCACACTCAAGTCGCATTAAACATGAGCCCATCCAAAACAGTGCCGTCTCCATGCGGACACATGAGGGATGAGTGTCATCCATGGGGAATTTGGCTAGTTAAATGCTGAAACCTCAGGCGTTTGGGAGTACTCAGTGGGTTAGTTTAGTCTGAGCGGCCTGCGATGAGTCAAGCCTTCCCGACAGGTACAAAAAGACCCGGAGAGCCTGAACACGGACTCCGATCTGGCAGACGGGAACGGGACGGGTTATTCTGGGACACTATCAGCCATACGGAGCGTTCAGGCGACGAGGGCGCACAGATTTATGACAGCTAGGCCTTACTGTATCAATTAATTAAGAAAGCGAAGACGCAGGAAATGAGGATATCTGCCAGGAAATTAAAATCTGGAGACGATAGAAAGTAAAGAGGAATATCATGCACGTTTTGGCTGCACTACAGAAAGAGTCTGTGGTTTATTTATGGTTCAAATGCAATCGCTGTAAAAATAAACACAGCTTAAAAATACACTCTTAAAAATAAAGGGGGTTTTCCACAGTTACACCATTGAAGAACCATTTTGGTTTCCCAAAGAACCTTTCAGTGATCATTTCTTAAACGAACTATTAGAGTGAACTGAACCTTTTGTGGATTGGAATGTTTCCATTGATGTTAAAGGTTCTTTATGGAACCATCAATGCAAATAAAGAATTTTCCGAATTTTCCGAACCATCAATGCAAATAAATAATTTTCCGAATCTTTTTCTGAGTCAATTCGTTTGTTTCGTTCGTTGAATGAACCAAATGACTCGGAAAAAGATTCGTTCATTTTGATTCGAACAGGAGAGTCACGAACGCTCATCACAGAACAGAGCAAGGCGAGCATTTGAGCTTATAAAACTTAAACTTTGTTATTTATTTATTAAATGAGCGATGATAAGACCCTTATTCATCGTCTGGAATCGTTTAAAGCCCTTTGAACAATTTGAAGTTTGCGCTGAAACGGTCTTTTGGACCTTGAACCGTTTGGTTCCCATTGAAGTCCATTATCAAATATCATTATCGTCAAAAACCTTAATTTCTTTTCGACTGAAGAAAGAAAGACATGGACATCTTGGATGACATGGGGGTGAGTAAATTATCAGCAAAAGTTTTTTCAAAAGTGAACTACTCCTTTAAGACAAACCATGTGTAAATTCACGTCAACACCATTGCAGTATTTTCCGAACCAAAAAAAGTCTCTGTTTCTGATGTCACAAACTGCCTTGTAACCAATCAGATCAACGTGTGATCGATCTCTGAGCTGAGTGAGTGAGTGGAGGCGGGGCTAATCTGCATATTCATAGAACCGCGCATACTTAATGAGGCAAGGGTGTCGAGTTCTATTTTAAGGCATGAAGATTCAAGGAAAAAACGTCATTTTGGTGATCAAAGATGAGTTTTAGGGGATAAAATGATTGACTACAGGGGGACTTTAAGCTTTTCAATTTGAACAAATAATGACACCCTCTGTTCACTGTATACTTTGCAAGAGTAAAGAGTAAAGCATGTTCTTTTCTTGCTTTCAGAAACACTGAAGTCTCCGAAAGAGCTTTGGTTTGTCTCACACCCCATATAACCTCAAAAAGATATAATTCACCGCATGAGCGCGAGGGCCACTTATCAGAAGAGAAGGCCTAATAAAACCGACAAAATGTCACGTTCTCACCCCCACACACCGAATCACAGCACTCCCAGCCATGGAAAAACTGAGTGAGAACAATTCGAACTATGAGCCAGTCTGGCCCTGATCTGAGCCGACACCTCCCACAGAGCTCCCTGGATCCTTCAGGATGAGGGATCCTAACTCCCCTGAAGCCGTCACATAGACTCACTTTGTCTAGTCGAACAAAAGGGGCAAAAGAAAAGCTAAATGTATCAGTCTGGACATAATCCCAACTGACTTGAAACTGAAACGTTTCCAGGTTCAGATCTTTCCCTCACACCCGACGTGCCGTCGGACTCTGGCGTGATAAAAGGAGGGCCGCTCTGGCTGAAGATCTCAGAAACCTTCAGCAAAGGTCTCTGATTTACTGTACCGATGCTCATGTGTTTTCCCATGACACACACTTACTCACAGAGGAGGAGAAGTTTCCCACAAACACCTTCACCGATTGGGATTGCTGGATCGAGCAGTCCAAAACATTACAGGAATCAAGCGTCTGAACCAGACATTCATCAACTGTTCAGCAATACCTGAGAAAAAATAGGTCAAAGGGTCAGTGACAAAATATGTCCGAGACTGAGATCATCAAAACATAAAAAAAAAATGGCCATGGTTTGGAAAAAACAACTATCTTTGCATCATTTTCAGGAAATGTTTTGATTCAGTCATGGAAATGTCAAGTGGTGTAATCAAGAAAAAAAGTCATCTGTTTTCTTTGCATCATGAATAAGCCAGTTTACACATCTACAGTTTCAAAAGCAAAACATTGTACAGTTATATTTTGACAAATAGCCTATGAAGTTGTTTTGATATTTGACAACCTAAATTAGTGTTTCCATTTCGTAAAATATGAAAGTATGGGATATTTTAAAATTGTACACTATCGCCATCTAGTGTTTAAAAAACAAAACTTTTGCGGAAGGACATGTTTTGGTTGTGCTTCGGCTCTGCGTGACTGTGCGGATGAATACGAGCGTTCACAATAGATGAACTCTTTACAATGAACTCTGTTTAAAGAGCTACAAATGAGAATTTAACTGTTCGATAAAACACCTTAATCTGTTGAGCAAGAAAAACGCCATCTTTGAATCGCTTTTACAACATTTCAAATCCCGTCAGTTCTCACCATCTCCAAAAGCCCTGTCATGTTGATCCTTGTTTGATAACGAGCTGTCTTGTTGTTGTTTTTTGCCAGCAGACTATCCTGTGTTCGGTGTTTGTTTAAAACGGGCGATTCCCGAAGTTTGGAGATATCAATATCAACCTTTCTCGCTCGTTGTGAAAACCTCTGCCACTCCCACACAGCAACTTTTCGATTTACGGATATGACGAGAAAGCAGTGACTGTACGCGATTTCCCGCGAAAACCGTCCCTACATCTAATGAATCACAAATACGTTTTGGGAAAAGGATTGATGATGTTTTGACTGATTATTTTTTTGTTTTGTTTTATAATTTGCAACAAAATATGTTGCATGTTTTTTTTTTCTCTCTTAACGGGTATTTTCTCTATTAAACACACCCAATATTATCTCTATTAAACACTTTTATCTCTATTATTATTCTCTCTATTAATTTCAAGATGGAAAAAAAACAATTAATAAATAGCCTACTTTTTAAAAATATATATTTTTTATATATTATTCGCTGATTAGTGCAAATAATTTAGAGCATTTTAAAGCACTCTTTCCAGTTGCTTAATATCAAATCCAAATCATTTATAAATGTCACGGACGTTGAAGCAACTTCTGAACTAAATTTAAGAATATAACAGAAGCCAAAACACTTTCCAAGCTTTCAATTATGTTATGATCACAGGTGCTATTCAATTTTACAAAGTTTTGACTTTAGGATCCTCAATATATATAAAAATTCATTTGAATTCTAATGTTTAAGCCATGTAGAAGAGGTGTATTCATGTCATTACATGTGTGAAATTAAATTTTAATTCAGAAAATTTGCATGTCATTGACAAAAAAAACTTTTATTAAAACAAAAATAAAACGGAAGTCAGAAAGGTGGTCATATTTCTGACACCAAATTGTATAAGATCCTGAGTTTTGAATCAGCTTAAAGATCAGTCTTAGAAGAAAAGGTTTTATATAGAAGTTCCCAAAATGGAAGCATTTTATGGATTTAGTTTTAATTCATTTTTAATATTAATTAAATGTTCTGAATTAAGAAGCTTGTACACAGACTTTATCACTATAAAAAAATTATATATCCCATTAAACGTTAAAGTATTATGCAACAATTTAAGACATTTCTCCTTATAAAACCTTTTTGGCATTGAGGGTTCTTTAAAATAGAGTCAAAAACCCCAAAGTTCTCTACAGAACCTTTCTTTCAATTGATCCTTTCTTTCTCTAAGAGTGATGCTGCCCTCTTCAGGTGGACATATAAAATGCAAATACTCCAGAGGAAAAATCATTTATTATATTCTGTAAATATAAATCTCACAAAGTTTTTGAGTTCATTAAATGCTCTGTGACAGAAATCACTAGTTGTTCTTCTTCATTTTTGCAGCAGGCATTAATTCAGAGGCGTCTTCTCTCTCCGCCGCTCTCTTTCTGCTGGTTTTATCGCTTAAATACCCGCTGGAGTCGCTCGCCGCGAGCTCAGGGGCTGAGATCTTGTCTTCTTTGTCTTTTTTCTTCTTCTTCTTTTTCTCTTTGTGATGTCCGTTTGCATTGGAGTCCACCTCCATTGTGTCCGCAGTGGTTTGGTTGTTGTCTGACGTTGGCTGCAGGCTGCAGTCGTTCACACACTCCTTCTCACGCTTGTCTTTCTTCTTTTTCTTGGGTTTTGCACTGACGGTCATGTCTTCTGTGGGTTCTGGTTCTGTAGAGGATTCTACAATTGATTCCTTTTGTTCGGTTTGGGTCACGAGCTCTTGCACTCTAAATGTCAACAACAAATTGTTGTTAGTCAAGCAGAATTCATCTATTAGTTTAAAGTTTGGTCAAAATGGTCAACATATTATATTACATATCAGTTTGGTCACATATTTTCAAGAAAGAACTGATGTTAAAAACCTAAATGTATTCACTCATCCATAAAAGATCCATCAGCTTGACGACAAGATCCATAACTCCGCTTAATGCAGAATATACGTCATTAATATACGCCTTTGTTATTGTTAGAGTTTAGCGACCCCTGGTGGCGAAACATCTTGCATATTGTACCTTTAATTCTTCATGGGTCATTACTTTGTACTTTTAAAGCTAAGTATTTATAGTCACACACACACAAAAGATTCAGATAATCAGCCCTCTGAATCGGAATCGAATCGTGAGGTGCCTAGACATCCCCACCCCAAACACACACACACACACACCTGTGTGTTACACCACTGGCAACATGCAATATGGCAGATTTAGTCCTGCCTCCTACACTCTTAGAAGAAAAGGTTCTATATAGAACCTTAAAAGGTTCTATCAGCGCTACGTATTTGGAACTCCAAAATGGTTCTATATAGAACATTTTTTTTTGGTAAAAGGTTCTATACACTCTTAAAAAGTATTCTTGGGTTCCATACTTGGCCAATAGAACCTTTTACCAAAAAAATGGTTCTATATAGAATCATTTTGGAGTTCCATATATGAAGCGGGGGATGGAACCATTTCTGGTTCTAAATAGAACCATTTCTTCTAAGAGTGTAAATAAGAGCCAATCAGTAAAGTCTTGATCGTTGTACCTGGATTTGTCCAGCCGTCCTCTGATGAGAAGGACACCAGCAGCTTCAGCGTCCAGCTTGAAGACCTCGAACTCCAGGCTCTGTCCAACACTCAGGCCCGAGTCCCGCCACTGCTCCGGGCTCAGCAGATTGGGCTTCACCACTGATGCGTTAAAGCAACCGTGGACCACACAGCCCACGTGACCCACTGCCATTTTATTAATCACACCCTGAGGGACATCAAACGCACACCATTAAACATCTTCACCCAGAGCAAACACAAGAATGCATTCATACACACGCACAGAACACGATAAAACATACCACGAGCTTCGACCCTATCTGCGGTTTGAAGATCACGAACGACGCCTCGATGTTGAAGTGAATGAATCCTTGATCGTCATAAATGTCTCCATGTTGTCCTACTATTTTAATGTTGTCATACGCCATAGGAACCCCATTCAAACTGTAAAACCAGAGAACAAAAGCCTTAGTCGGATCCTATATTAATACATGTTGTTCATATAAACAGTTTGGCTGGGTAATAGAGTTTTAACCATGATTTAAGTTGAGGTTTAATGGACAAGGGAGTGCTACTATGAATAAAGGGATAGTTCACCCAAAAATGAAAATTGAAAAAAGCAGCGTCACTGAACGCGGATCTACAACAGAACCGGAAGACAATACAATGCTGAATAAAGTCGTAGTTTTTGTTATTTTTGGACCAAAATGTATTTTCGATGCTTCAAAACATTGTAACTAACCCACTGATGTCACATGGACTACTTTGATGATGTTTTTATTTCCTTTCTGGACAAGGACAGTATACCGTACACACATTTCCAATGGAGGGACAGAAAGCTCTCGGACTAAATCTAAAATATCTTAAACTGTGTCCCGAAGATAAACGGGCTTGGGACGAGTCATTAATGACATCATTTTTGGGTGAACTAACCCTTTAAGCTAAATAAATAAATAAAATGACAACAAAAAGACATTTGATTGATATATTAAATAAATACCAATAATAATACATTTTACAGTACAGTACAACAGTGAGTAAAACAATTTATAGATAACTTGTTATTGCTAGCCGCTCAGAAATTGCCTACCCTACCTTTAATTGACAACTTTGCAACTAAACAAAAAACAAGTTTTTTTATGTTATTATTAAATATATCAAAGTGGCAATACTCGGCATTGGAGTAACTTTAGCATATAAATGCGATTGACTTGAAGTGGCAGCAATGACACACTTACAAAAGAGTATACTAGAGTATTTCCAGGCTTTTGTTTTACCTGCAGGAGTACTTGAGCAGTTCTGCGTTGAGCTCCTCCTGAATGCCGAGCCTCTTCTTCCGCAGGTATACGGGCGGCAGCGCGATGTGTCTGCGGTGCGTGTCGAGCACCAGGCACGAGTAATGCGCGTTCAGGAGCTTCACCGCGCCCGCGAACGACGGAATGAGACACGGAACCACCGCAGGATTCCCCCCGGGTCTGGCCGTCACATCTCCGCTAGATGTCTGCGCTATTGTGGACACATTCGAGGGGTTTGTGACGGGTTTCGCAGCACCGTCCTCCTGAGTCCAGTTCGCCATGCTGAACACATGAAGGAGCACGTGGTGCGTTCGCTCGTGTGTTTAGTGTTTAGCGGCGAAATGCTCGGAGTGACGTGTGACCACCAGCGGAGAGGAGGAGAACTACACACGAAAATAAATAAATAAACACAATATTTTTCGGTCGCTAATAGTAACTATTTAAAAGTAAAAATAAAAAGATAGTTAGAATTAAATATAAATAATTAATTGAAAAAAATAAAAATTAAAAATGGATCCAAATGAAAAATTAATGAGAAATATACAGCACTTGAAAAATGCTGTAGGGTTAGTCTGCAGTATATAAACACACACACACACACACATATATATATAGCCTATATACTGTCAAATCTAACAAAATTTTGTGTGAAAACACACACACACACACATATATAGTAGTAAACAATTGTGGATCAAAAAAAAGTTAATCAAAGTTCTCCTAAGACAAGAACGGGTATTGTTAAAAAAAATCATGTATAACTTTGATGAAAGGTTTTGATCCACTTCAAATGTTGACTACTGTATATATACATTAAATATTTCTTTAAAACAACAGAAATTGTGGTGTGTAAAGTAAGTGTGTTTTTGTTTTTGTGTGATAATGGTTTAATCATCAGTCGTTGTACCACAAATTCCATTTGACATCTTTATTTCATTTTCATATGAAGCCCCTATATAAAAATACTGTAAATGAATAAATATCTTTACAGGCATTTGATATGGTCAGGATAAAAGCATTCGGTATACCATACAATATCAGGATTACAATTTCAGATTCAACATTCCCTTTATCTAGATACAGGAAGAGAGGAAGAGTTACAGAAAGAGAGAGAAGATCATTTGCATGCTTGTTTTGTACTCAAATATCTTTTCTGTACGCTGGTTGTCAAGGTCTCCTGAGGTCATCAGGTAACTGGACACTGATTGGCTGTCTGTCTGTTCAATACATCTGACGCTGCGTCTACAGTCTCTGCTTCCCCTGTCAGATCGACTCAGCCAATCAGAGTGAAGAACTGTGCAGGCGAGAGTGTGTGGGCGGCGAGCCGTCATGGAGAAGCGCTCCGCCCGTTGTAGGAGATTTGAGAGATGGCATTGCTGGTGTTATCCAAAACCTCCTGCGAACAGACGAACACACGGCCGGGTTTCAGTACGAGATGCACGCTCAAACAGACAACTTGCATGTTTAGCTACTTTGTGTTTTTACCAGTCCTGTGTGCCTGTGGAACAAACGGTGCACACTCGTTTAATGCTTAGGGTTTTTTCAGATAACTAACCCCAAATACGAGAAATTATAATATGATGCAAGTGTGACATATACATACACAGAGAATCATAAGACAGTACAAACTTGACACATGTAAGACTTAAAATAAATTAAAACTTAAAAGACTTAAGAACCTATTGTCATAGAAGAACCATTTAAGAATACTATAAAATAAATAAATTATAAATTATACTGGCGTGTTTTTTTCATGCACTGGTCAATTTTGAGATTTTACTTCCATAATATGTCTTCTTTCTATATATAGTTGATAGAAAACTCACAAAATACACAATTACGCTTATTTATTTGTTTTTACGTTATCTATTTGTGTCTGTAGCGGCCATATTATGTCCTTTTGCAGTCTTGTTTTTGTTTTTGGGCGGTACGAGAATATATTTTCATGCTAGAATCTTCAAAAACACATTATTTTCCTCATATTCTCCATTGTTGCGGCTCCTGTCTTCCTAGTCTGTCAGTAACGCTCTGTTTAGTTCCTGGCCCCTCCTTCTGAAAAGCATACTGTGCTCTGATTGGTCGGCTGGAGCAGTGTGTTGTGATTCGTCAACCATTGGTCAATGCCCCTTCCATAACGGACAGTTTTAACACACTACTAACCAGGCCCCGCCCCTTTTATTTTGCTTTTATTTAGACGGGAATTATTTAAATGAGGAATAATTCGTTTGTGTTCGTTCCCGGAAGAAAACTCAAGACTACAATGGAGGCGTTTCAGGGAGTTCATAAACACTGAGGCCCTGTTTACACAGGAACGATTCCAGGGGAAAACGTAAAAATATTTTATCGGATGTGCCTTTTGTTTACACGGCGACGGCGTTTTTGGGGCTTAAAAAGTGAAACCGCCCTCCAGAGTGGAAATCTTAGGCTATGTTTACACGGAAACGATCTGAAGAGAAAACACAAAAGTGGCGTTGCGGTTTCACTTTTTATTCTGCGTTTAGACGATCGTTATGGGTGGGAAATCCGCGTGCATATGGTGACGCAAAAGTGTATGAAATTCGATGTAATATGCACTCCAGGAGGCTAGGTGGCGATGTGAAGCACTGCCACACTACAACACCAAGTCCGCGCGCCTGTGTACAACCTAGCAGACTTTTGCGTTTTAGACGGGAACGCGACGGGGGAGCGTTTTTAAGATTTCCACTCTGGAGGGTGGTTTCACTTTTTTGCGTTTTTAAGCCCCAAAAACGCCGTCGCTGTGTAAACGAAAGGCACATCCGAAGAAATATTTTTACGTTTTCACCTGCAAGCGTTCCCGTGTAAACAGGGGCTTAAAAACGCTCCACTGTCGCGTTCCCGTGTAAAAGGGCAAAAACGCAAAAGTCTGTTAGACAGTGAAGGTTGTACGCAGGCGCGCGGACTTGGTGTTGTTGTGTGGCAGTGCTCAACATCGCCACCTAGCCGCCTGGAGTGCATACTACATCGAATTTCACACACTTTTGCGTCACCATATGCACGCGGACTTCCCACCCATAATGACCGTCTAAACGCAGACTAAAAAGTGAAAATGCAACGCAACTTTTGAGTTTTCCCTTCAGATCGTTTCCATGGTAACATATAGAGAAGAAATCCCGCTGGAGGGACTTCATACTTTGTAATTTTATACAAAATGCAGAGCTTATTCATGCTCAAATATCAACATGACACATAAGATGAACATGTAAAAAGCATAATAGGTCCTCTTTAAAGTTTATTCCTATCTAGTACCTGAGTTTATCCAATGTTGAGATTTCTGTTCCGGAAATGTTCTGCAAATTAGTGCATATTTAATTAGATTAAATATATGTTGTCTGCTTCTTTAAACATAACATTTGAGAAACCTTGTAATACAAAATGTCCTCTGATTAATCAACCTGGGTAGATATGGTGATGTCTCTTAATTCAATGTGTACCCTCTTGACACATCAAGACACGTCCTTTTAGTCTATAAAAAGTAAAACCACGATAAAAAAAGAAGTCCATGTGGCCTACATGACATCAACCGAAAAGAAAAATTGTTTCATAGGTGGAACAAGCTATTACATTTCACTGACATTTTTAATTTCTTTGGAATCATTCGCAATAAGAACAGGAACATGATGCATTTAGAAAGTGTTGCCTGTGAGCCGGTACACACACAGACTGCACAAACATACCAGCTCCTGTCGTACCTTCTCTGCCATCTCGTGCGAGTGATGGAGTGAATGTTCTCTCTCCAGAAACATGCGCTGCTGTTCGCTGCTGGCCAGTCTGCAGGTCAACCACGTGGACAGCGTGCAGCTGCTGATGCCCAGACACGCTAGAGACATGACGGCCAGATGAAGAGAGCGCATGGTGTCCGGACGCTTGACCAGTGCGCGGACAAACTGGAAGTTCAGGATTCCGCCAATTAAGCCACAAATGCAGCAGGAGGAAAATAGGATCATCTGAGAGAGAAACAGAAACATGCATAATGTTAGCTCTTTGTGTCTATTGCATGCATACATCAGTAAAATAACACATATTGCATCTATTCATAATTCAAATAACAACATATTGCATGCATGCATACAATATTAAAATAAAAACACATATTTCATGCATGCATCATTAAATCGCATGCTCACAATTTTTCAATAATAATGCAAATTAAGAATAACACTTATTGCATGCACACGCATGCACACGCATTCAATAGTAAAATAATGACATATTGCATTCATACAAATTAAAATAATAAAACATATTTCATGCTCACAATTTTAAAATAATAATGCTCACAATAGTAGAATAATAATGCATATTGCATGCATAAAATATTAAAATAAAAACGCATATTTCAGGCATACATCATTCAAATAATAACGCATATTGCATGCTCACAATATTAAAATAATTAGACATATTGCATGCATACATCATTATGAATATTGCATGCTGACAATAGTAAAATAATAACACATATAGCATAAACTCACAATATCAAAATAATAATGAATATTGCAAGCTCACAATATAATAATATCACATATTGCATGCACACATAATTAAAATAGCAATGCATACTGCATGCGTTCAATAGTAAAATAATAACACATTTTGCATCCATACAATATTAAAATAATAATAGAAATTGCATGAATGCATTATTAAAATAATATTGCATATTACATGCATACATCGTTAAAATAATAATGCATATTGCATACATACATTATAAAAAATATATACATCATTACAAATGCATTAAAAGCGTTTCTCCTTGACACAAATTAAAATATCAATATTTATAATATTCGATTTAATTGATTTTGTAGTACTTTGTTTAAGTGCTTCTGTGGTGTAAGTAACAACCATAATGCTAGGTTTCCAGGGTGTTGCTATGCAGTGGCTAATGTTGGGATTTCAAAGCTCATAAAGGTCAAAGTACATTAACCTGAAGAGTATGGCACAGCAGAAATACTGTAAACGGAGGGTGAAGACGAAACCCTTGTGTACAGGGGGAATGGATTGTGCTGCTCTGTGTTTTTGTAATCGCTCAGACCACGTTCAGACAGTGACATTATCTGCCAGCTCAACACTTCAGGACACATTTGACCTCAAATTACATAAGAAAACGTCTGACTACAGCACATGAACACGTTGGACGTGTGCTAGTGTGCTAGACATCTCTTATATCTTGCTATTGCATACTCCTATCATTAATTGCTTACAGCAAAAGGCTCTGCAAATGATGGCTTGACAACACAATTAAACTGCATACTTGAACTATTTGTTTTTGTAGTATGTATGTAGTATGCAGTGCACTGAGTATGTCTAAAAAAAAGCTATTTATCAGCATTTTCATTCATTTAAAAGGTTGCTCGGCTCATTCGTGCCACCATTGCAACCTGCATACTGCTATCTTTGCTCATAAGCCAATGGAGCTGAAAGAATATACCACTATTTTTTAAAAGGAGTGTATTTTTTAATGCATCTATCAGCAGGCCAATGAAAAATGCACAATATTTAAACATGCAATGTTTTGAGGTCATGTGACAACAAATTTGTATCACACATAGGCTACAATTGAAAATGATTGAAGTGAATAAGCATCTGATTTCAAAAGCAGCCATTCACTCATTTGCATTATCGATTCTGCTAAAACTGCGAACCGTCTCTATTATTTTACTGTAACAAAACCAGTACGCAAAACATACTCATCAGCATACTACTGTACTAGTATTCCATTCACACTGTAGCGCAGCCTATATCAGATTACACACTGAAGAGAAACAGACAAAACACTTTTTTTACAGTACTTTCCGTTTAAGCGTCTTAAGATGAGACTAAAAATGTGATTTAGAGACACGACGCTTAAGTGTTCTTGAGTAACTCCTGACGTCAGGAATCAGAATCATTACAGGCAGACGGCGAGGGTTTGCATTCAGCCGTACAGTAATTTTACAGAAAGGCCCAGAGAAACTAAATCAATCAAAAAAAAAAAAACAGAGAGGGAAGCGTGTTTGTGGACAAACCTGAAAGCGTGTACACAAGAAATCAGAGGAAAACAACTAATGCTATGAAAGAGACATGGAGAGTAGGATCAGAGATACATGAAAGCTCTCAGACAGGTTTCACTTCGGTATTGATTTGTGATTAACACTCTCCTCTGGGGCCGCTCACTCCACTCCACGGTGCCTAACTGAATCTCGGCTCTCAGTGAAGTGTCCAGGGATATTCACACACACACACACTGTGAGCTGGAGCTGGTCTCTGATGTGCATGTTTATATTGACGTCCACAACAAACTATTTCTATTCTGGATTTAGTTAGCATTTCTAAATTAAGAACACACAGTATTATGCTTTTTGGGATTTTACTGTTCAACCTTTCATGTTTGTGACTGGAAAAGGTCTGCAACGTTTCAAAGTGTCTTGTAAACCTATGTAGCTAATTCGCATAATGGCCGTCTATAGTTTTCATTGGCTGCTGGAGCACAACGCCCTCAAACACTGTAGTTGTGACTGGAAGAGTTTGGTTTGAGAAGACGCTGCGTTCTGTTGTGTTCGAACCCACTTTGCTTTACTTCCAAAGGATGAGATTGATGAAAAGAAAAGAATCACTGTCTATAAAGTGCTAAAATTCAGATATAGTAATGGGCGTTTGCTTTCTAACATGCATTGTAAGCTGTTGACCAATCACAGCAGACTGGGCCATCTGACCAATCAGGGCAGAGCAGGCTATCGGAAAGGCGGGGCTTAAAGAGACTGAATCCCTGATTGAGCATTTCCGACACTGTGAGAAAAGAGCTGATGTATATGTATATATTATACATCATAATGTATAATCTAATGTATATTATAAGAAAATACTGTGTTTTTGAATGGATGCATGTAAACCAATTGTAAGAGACCATATAAAAAAGAATAATACGCGAAATTCATTTTTAGAATTCTACCGTTTATTTGTGTTCTACACGCTTGAAATGATTCCAATTAGAACCCAAAACCATTTAAAGTTGAATTTAGAACATTTTATGCATCATTTTATTTAAAAACTCAATCAACAAAGAAGTGTTTAACATTGAAGAATAAAAAAAGTGTATGTGTTCTCGTGTATGCTGGGAAGAACTTTGAAGCTATTAAAAACAAACAAAGAAATGGCAAGCAACACAACTGAATTTACCATAAAAATATTTTGCATGTAGGCTAAAATATACTCTATAAAAAATATATGATCTGGGAGACTAGACAATGCGAACTGGCTTGTGTGTGTTCAACAGTAGTGTACAGTAGAGATCTAGTATGAAGTGCGTACTCACAATCAGTCCTGTCCTCTTCCGTGCACACAGCATGCCACACAGCCCGCAGATAAGAAACTAGAAGAGACCAAACAGGGTCGTGATATTTGTGAAAGTCCGAAATAACATGAATGGAATTGTGACTAAATGATATGACTGGATTCAGATGACAGTAGAGTCAGTGTCTATAGGCTAAGAACTGAACTGAACACAAATTAAGTTATAGGCTATATAAGTTAATGATGGAACAGGCTATATCACAACCTCACAAAACAACAGACGACGAGTCTTATAATTTCTAGAGCAAACCGAAACAGTATTTATCTGTGAAGAAAACAACTTTTTGAAGAATTATTAAGTTATGACATTAGAAATTTTGCCATTCTACTCTATAGGTCAGATTACCATGGTATCAGTTACATGACTGTATGATATTGCCTATGAATGGTTCTTCTTACAAATATACCATGGTACTATATATGCCCGAAACATGTTCCCTTTTGACTGACAACAAATCATTTTTAACATTCAGTGGCTGAGAGTTTTGCTCAGAGAACAGCTCATTTCTTGAAGCTGAATAAGACTAAAAAAAGTGAGACGTACACACACTCCGCTCCATACCGGAGAAGCGTCGCCCTGCTGGGTCTTGTGCTCGGCTTTCGCCCGGATGATGCCCACCGCGCCCAGGACGATGCTGGACACCCCGAGCCCTATCTCCAGCGTCGACAGAACCAACAAACTCCAGATGATCTTCCGGCTGCTGCACATCTTCGCTCGGGCATCCTTCCTGACCGGTGCGCAAAACGCTTCACTCCATGTCTTCACAGATAAACACACATTAAATCCAGAAAAGTCTGCAGAGGACATCAACTCAAGTGATTTCTCCCAAACAGATCAGTGCGCAAAGGCGCTCTCCATGGTGCGCGAACGCCACCAGTTTAACTTTACCCTCCTTCTCCTCCTCTCTCTGTTTACCATGGCTCTGGTCCTGCCCCGTGTGATTTCCCTCAGTTTAATGCTCCGCCCACAATCACCCCCGAGATTCTTTGACAGTGCTGCAGTGGTGCGCTTCTAAAATAGTTTTATTTAATTTCACATGTAACGGAATTCGTTTGAAGAGTAATTGCTAATAACGTTCTAATTTAGAACTTCTAAATCGATTCTGGCGGGAGAAGTTTCGAAGAACGCAACACTGTCGAATTGCGAGCGAAGCAGGTGTCCTCCTCACGTGCGCGCGCACAAACACACGGTTATGTGCAATGGTGCGTAAAAGCGCTGATTGTGGTAAATGTACCCCGGCCGGGCATTTTGTTGCATAAAACACCCGAGATGAAGAACACCTAACGGCTCATGTCAGCACAGCATATTAATACAGTCGATTACATTGCATTTAGAGAGCTTTTGAGTGGAGCGGAGAGACTAAAACCATAAGCGTGCTGTTTATGGGCACTTTTGATGCTCTGTGATTATATTTGTAGTTCCCACACATTACCAACGCGCAATTGATGCCTAAAACATTGACTTTACAGACTAGAGAAAAGCAACAAAAAAAAAAAAGCAAAATGGACATTAATGTCTTTGAAATTGTTGCTTATTGGCCAGGCAGGCAGTCATATGGATTCCTATAAAGCAGATTTATGCTCATTGTGCAAAGCATTGAGCATTACTGTGCATTACCACGAGCATTTTTATCATCTCAGGCCACTCACAATAAATGTTGGATCATTTTTTGCATTATCCCTTACTCACGGGTTGGCCAGAAAGGAAAATTCCTGTCTTGAAACAAAATAATTTAATTTATCCAAATAAATGGCCTCTCTAAATAATTAATAACCAGATTTCACATAGAGAATTAAACAAAACAGTTGCTCTGGGACTGTCTGTAGCATCCGCTCATTAAAATATCATCATCACAACACAAATGTAGAAGCCTGTCCACATCTACTGCAGTGTGTGAAGGGTTCATCCTAAAGCTAAAACTGCAACTTCTGTTCGCGTTACCGTAACAACAGCAGCTCTAAAACAAACAGTGCTGATATCCAACAGTTTCACTGCAGTCATATTTTAGGTAGCCTATATTTTTTTTTATCGATTTACACTATATCTGCATTTGACGTTTTTCACCAGTATTTCAACAAACCAATTCAGCAAAATAATAATAATAATAATAAATAAATAAATAAATTTACAATCAATCAGATTTTTTTAAAATATAAATCATTTTTGAAAATAGTGGTTAATTGGGGGTTTTCTTTACTAATAATAATCAATGTTCTTGAACCTATAAAAACATTTAAAAATGAAAGAACCTCTGCCAATTGTGATAGAACATTATGTACAAATGTCTGACAAAAATAAAATATAAAGGCAAAGTTAATAAGTTAATTTGTCTTAAAAGCAGCTTAATGCACACACACTGTAAAAATGATATAAAAAATATTTTCAAGATTTGTTATCACAACATATTTTCTTTTGTCAAATCAACTTTATAATAATTTATTTAGTTGAGATAACTTATTATTTTGAGTTTCTGATGGTTAAATTAATCTCCTTCATTGTATTAACTCACTTTTTCCAGTTCAATCAACTTAAAATTTTAAGGCAACCAGGTTACTTACTTTTTTAAGTTAAACATCAATATTTTTTTACAGTGCAACCAGTAAGTTGACAACATACTGTACATTTTACATTGCGTTGATTCATCAAAATGAGTTAAACCATTTTCAACTTTTTATCAAACATTTTAAGCCAGTTTAATGTAATTTATATAAACATCACATCCAAGTTGATTGTAAAATGTAAGTCAGAAACCATTTTTACAGTGATATTAAAGGGGTGATGAACAAAATTTCCTTGAGCTTTTGACATCTAAGAGGTCATATTATAAGAATATCCTGTAAGTTTCAGAACAGAAAACGTCCTTGTTAGTCCAATAAAATCGTTTAATGACACCAGCCTCAGCATATGACTCATTTTTCAAAGTGGGGAACTATGACGTCAAAGAGGATAAAACACCACCCCCCCGCAGAAGAAGATCAACGCCTACTTCAACACGGCCGGTTTAGCCCCGCCCACCGATTCGCGCATTACACGCATAGCTAAATAACATAGATACCTACCTCGTGATGCAGCACCTGGTTGTGGAAGAAGACAATCGCAGCATAAGCTTCCTCTGGATTCCAAAAGGACTGCATGGATAAACTTTATTTTTAATGACGTTCCAGCTGATGAGGTAAAACATCGTCCATCTGTTCGCTTCATTTCACTGAGGATTGTTTTGTAAACAAGACTGGATTTGCAGACCGATTGAGAGTAAAGAACAGTGCTGTGCCGTCTATATTGGATCTGACAGGAATGGTGCAACACACGGACTCTGGGTCGAACATGTATGGGCGAATCATTCTGGTTGCCATTTTACAACATTGGACATTCTCAAAACAGTTGAAACTCATTATAATATGCAAAACTGTTATCCACTCACAGCAGTGGGCGTTTACTTCCAAGTCTAAAAACAGAGCGTTTTTCAGCTAGGCTCAAAATTATGGTAGAAAATAATATATTACTTATTCATTTTGATGTTTTTGAATGTAAAAACCAAGCGAACGTCATAAATTGACCTCAGACCTATAATGAAATTATTTGGCCATTTGCATACAATCATTAAAAATGCTTTTACATCAGCAAAGAAGTATTGCTTATGCTGTTAGGATTTCTGGATTCCTGTATAGTTTGTCTGCTAATGTGCTTGGGAACATCAGCTGTCTGTAATCTCAGCACTGGAGAACAAGACACCCCCGTCTGCTGAGTCATCAGACTAGCGCTTCTCCACCTTCAGCAGTGCGTGTCCGCTCTCCTCCGGGTCTGTGAATGTGAAGTGCTGGACTGATTGTCAGTTTCCAGACCCAGTTGTGAAGGGTGATCTACAAATAGCAGGGTGGAAAGGGTGGAGATATTTTTAGAAACTGTGACCAGTGTGTAAAGAATAAGGAAAGCAGGGTGTATTGTTTGCTCTTCGGGTTCTGCTGCGATATCACATTTCTGAAAGATTGTTTGTGCTGCATATTCCTGAGAGGACCAACAGTTTATCACTTGTTAGCCCCTTTTTAACCACGATATGATGTACACTGTAAAAAATATATATTTTCAACATTTTTTCTTTTGTCAAATCAACTTAAATAATTTATGTTCAGATAACAGTTTCTGGTGATTAAATCAATCTCAATTGTATTAACTCAATTTTTCCATTTCAATGAACTTAAAATTTGAAGGCAACCAGGTTACGTCATTTTTTAAGTTAAATCAACAATATTTTTTTATCATCAATCATATCAACCATGCAGCTTACCAGACAAATGCATTCATATATCTTTCTTACTTTCTACTTAACTTAAGGATGCACATTAATTTGTATTAACGTAAAGGCATTATTGCTTGTAGGTTTTTAAGCATTCAGCTATGAATGATGGGAGATGTCGTTTAGCAATGCAAGCCTCTTGCCTCAAACGGCTATATTCTGGAAAGTTTAATTACAATTTTTTTTTTCATTCAAAATCATAGACTGTAAAAATATGGACAAAGCGCCTGTGACGTCACCCATAGACTCTCTGAAGAACGGATTTGAGGCTGTTTATGGGGGGTACGGGCGGCGCCATACTTGAAAATCTTGGAAAATACAAAATACAAAAGTTTCAGAAAGGATACAGAGGTGGTATGATGTGTTGTGTAAGATCATGGCCGAGACGTCAAATTCACTCGGCGCAGCCCGTTATCAGCTTTCAATCAAAGTTAACCGCCCTGTCATACGTTTTTATATCTAAATATGATCTAAACTAACGAGTTGTCAGGCACGCGAACATATTGAAGATTACAATAAAAGTCCATGGGACCAAACTGTAAACATATGAATTTATGCTGTGAAAATGGACATTATAACATGACGTCTATGGATATTTACTCCCTTTTGGTGTTCTGACAATTTATGCTACCGGGCTACACATCGAGATTTGCTACTTACGTTATGCGCATGTGCAGACTCACAGTTTTGTTTTGTTTTTTGTTTTTTTATACAAAAGGTACATTTTCCTGTTATAATGTATAATTTCCCTTTAAAAAATGCTTACTATCATATGAATATTTGTACGGTCAGCCAGCTGAAAAGGAATAACTGAAAGTTTCAGTTACTATTAGGAAAAGTGTACTTTAACAAGTATCACAGCGTTTTTAAAAATTAAAACAGTAGTCTACAGTATACAGTAGCTACTCATAACTTAGAATTGTATTATAATTGTATTTCATACGACTTTAATCGGCATTCTACGGTAGCATTTTTCGACAAGGCAGCAAAAATCGGCAGAACACCGGCCTCTAGCGGATTTTAGATGCATTGCAGTTTATCGCACTTCCGGGTAGGCTTCATCTTTCAGATTAGAATGTTGCCGCTGGTTCAAAATACACAAAATGTGTGCAAAGTAAACTTTACAGTCAACTAATTATTATGTAATTGATATGCCACTTGAGTTTCTCACTTAGAAACCAGATTGTGGTGGTGGTCTTTAGCCTATTCTCATAAATAGGATCATTCCACCATGATTGATCTTTGAAAAGAACAGACAATTCCCTTAAAATGCTGAAGTTCAGAATATTTCATGAGAGGGTCTGTCCTGTCGCTTGTCCTCCTGTGTCTCAGTATTGTCTTCCATTAGCATCACTGCAGTAGGACAGAAGAGCTGCTTACACACGCTCTCACATCCTCCGTCTATTTATAACCACCGCAGTCTGTTTGTGTCTGTTCATCCTCCTCCTTTCTCTTCCTCTTTCTC